CCCCAGGACAGCCCTAGACAGCCCCAAGACGGTCCAAGAGGCACCCAAGACGGCCCAATAGAGCCTCAAGATGGATCCAAGAGCGGGAATTCAATGTGACATTTCGACCCCTCCACTCCAAGTGGCAGACCCCCAAGAGGCCCCCGAGGGCCCCAAAAAGAGGCCCCCGAGAGGCCCCGAGCTTCACGAGGCACCCGAGGAGCGTGCCAGCAGACGGGTGTCTGAGAATCTCTGACCCAAAACTCGGGCACGGTAGCGACATGGGCCGAAGGCCATAGATAAGCCAGCAGTTGGCCTGGCGACGGATCTATCCCTGTGCAATCGTGTGCAGCGCGGGGCGCGGGCCTTTCTTCACAGACTTGGGCGGCGCGAGGCTCTGCGGACATGGAGCTGCTGCGGAGCACGCGTGCGCGGGTTCGCCGAGCTCTCTGTGGGGCACGGTCCGCGCGAAGGGTGTGCCGAATAGTTGATGGGCCTGCGTTCCACCACCACCACCATAAGTTTGTGGGGGGGGGGGGTCCTCCTCCTCCTCCTCCTCCTCCTCCTCCTCCTCCTCGTCCTCGTCCTCCTCCTCGTCCTCCACCTCCTTCCCCCCTCTAACTTCTGGTGGTGGTGGTGGAAAACAGGCCCATCAATGATTCGAATGTCCCCGAGCGAACACGCCCACTGAGGCCGCAGGTCGACCTCCTTGGGGCACGACCCGTGCGAGGCATGTTCCGAAGTGGGCGGGGGGACGCCACCATGCGAAGCCGCCCATTGGTGCCACGGGTGGAGCTCCTTCTGGGGCGTGATTCGCGTGACGGGCGTGCCGGCATGTCGGGGGGGGGGCGCTGCACGAACCTTCTATTTGGGTCTTTAGTTGGCGTTCCTTCTGTGTACGATCTGCGTGGTGGGGTGTGCCGCAATGGGCGGGGCCATGGGTGGAGATCCCTGTGGGCCACGACTCGTGCGAGAGGTGTGCCGAAGTGGGCGGGGGGCGGCATGCGAACCTTGCCTCTGGGACCGTCCGTTGAAGTCCCTGCGGGCCACGATCCGTGCGAGAGGTGTGCCGAAGTAAGCCAGGCGACGCTATTTAGCTCCCCTCTGGTGTCGCACACGCAGTTACTTGCTGGGCACGATCCGCGTGAGGGGCGTGCCAATGTGCGAACCTTGTCTCTGGGGACTTAGGTGGATGTCCCTGTGGGGACTGATCCCTCTGAGGGTTGCATCAGCACTGGCGGAGGGGACTCTTAAGCCAAGCTTGTATCTGGGGCCATCGGTGGAGCTCCCTGAGCTGCACAATCCGTGTGACACTAGGTGTCCTTCGACGCCGAACACTTTAGACTACAACCAGAACTTGCTAGAAACTAAGCGCGCGCGAAGCGCGCGCGTGGTTCTAGTTTTTATTGCTCATTCCCAACCATCCTGTGGTGTTGGGTCCTCGTTCTGAAGAGACGGTCCCCGCGTCCTCCTCTCCTCTCCTCTCCTCTCCTCTCCTCCTCTCCTCCTCTCCTCTCCTCTCCTCTCCTCTCCTCTCCTCTCCTCTCCTCTCCTCTCCTCTCCTCTCCTCTCCTCCTCCCCCTCCTCCCTCCTCCCTCCTCCCCCTCCCCCCTCCTCCCTCCTCCATGCGTTTCACCCACCCAGTACAGCTTTTCGTGGCCCCATAGGGAGCTCCACCTGCGGCCCCAGTGGGGGTGGCCACATGCGTCCGCCACACCCAGTACAGCGCTTTGTGGCACCATAGGGAGCTCCACGTAAGGCCCCAGTGGGGGTGGCCATATGCAACCGTCACACCCAGTACAGCGCTTCGTGGCCGCATAGGGAGTTCCACCTGCGGCCCCAGTGGGGGTGGCGTCCGCCACACCCACTACAGCGGTCCGTGGCCCCATTAGGGAGCTCCACAGAAAGACCCCACAACGCGTTACGCACATTTGCATATGGTTGGGTCCTTCGCCAGGATAATCCAGGATCCCCATGTAGGAGGAGACGCCCGACCTAAAGCCAGGTTTAGGAAACGCCTCGTCAGTGGAACTCGGGCAGGCGTTTCGAGGATGCGGACGGGCTGGGTGGTGGCGCGAGGGGGGGCGGCCTTCCCAGGACGGCGGGGGGCTTCCTAGAAAACATCGGCCTGCGCAGGAGGGCTGGGGGGGGGCGTCGAAGAGGGCTTCTTAGACGCCCGCACTGGCCACCACGCCGATCCTGGCCAGGGACACCCTCGGCCTGGGATCTGCGCATCGGCCAGGGAGGGGGGGGGGGCCAGCGTCGGTGCGAGAAGTCCGCCGGGGCCTCCGACAGTGCCTTTCGTGTTTGTGCGGAGTTTGCTTCTAATATCTCTCTCGTCCACTCTTCGTCCCTCCTCCCCACTCGATCTGCAGTGGGATGTTCGCGCCCTCCCTTCACGGCTGCGCCTTGGAACAGGCTGTGGGCAGTGGGAGTGGGTGGAGAAGAGCGGCCATACAACGGGCGAGATGAGAGCGGAGTGGGGAATGAAAGTGTACCAACGGGCGGCGAGAGAATGCAGACGTGTGGCGATACTATGTGGAGTTAGCGAGGGGTCCAGGGGGCGATGCAGAAGAAGTGATGACCCAGGCAGGGAACAGGCACAACTACTCCATATGGCATTTGATGTACCAGATGACGAGAGCGTAAGGACAAGATGATGATTAAGGCTGGCAACGAATGTCACTTCCAAGTCGAGAGGGGACAAGATGTGGTCTAGTCCCCCACAAACCGCCAGGTCGGGCTGGAGAAAATGGTGATAATCCACAGTGCAGCGGCAAATGAACCAGACAGCAGTGCCAATCGGATAGCAGTTCCAAGCGATTGCCTCTTCGATGAGATGTATACTGTTTCCACCGCGTGCCCAGGAGGAGCGGCTCTTGCGTGGCTGCTGGCGCTATCTACATGTTCGCAGCTCAGGCACGGCGGGCAGGGGAGGACTGCTGGCCATCCCCGCTCGTGCCCTCGCGCCAGCTCGCCCACAGCTTGCACGCCCGGCACTTCGGAATCGTGTGTGTGTGTGTGTGGCTCCGGAGCGAAAGAAGGACGTACATGTTCATGAATCCACGCTGGTTTCGAGAGCACGCATTGCACAAATGTTCGTATCACGCGGCCGGTCTCGCGAATCGAGGGGCCGTGCTCATGTACATAGCTGGGCGCGTACGTCCTTTGTGGGCTCCCTAGTGGCGAGTCGGCCTCGCCCTCGCGCTGGCGTGGGCGTGCCCTTCTGCGAGGTGCGGGAGGCCCCCGCGGCAGCGGGGGCCGGAGGCCGGAAGGCGCCCGAGAGAGCCGCACCTCGCCGAGGCATGCACGAGGCGCCCGCGGGCCGTTCGGCGCGCGCGGCGCGCGAGATGGCGCGAGCATGCAGCTGGCGAGCGCGAGAGCAGAGATTTCGATGCTCGTTTCGGGGACCTTCCTGGAGCCCACCTAACGGATCTGTTCGACCCCAGTTCGACTCAAGTTCGACTCAAGTTCGACTCAAGTTCGACTCAGGTTCGACTCAGGTTCGACTCAGGTTCGACTCAGGGTCGACCCAATTCGACTGATGTTCGACGCAGCTTCGACGCACGAGTGGAGCGAGTGGCTCCAGGAAGGTCCCCAGAACGAGCATCCAAAGAGATTCGGGGGTGGGCAGATCTCCTGCCCTGACGCGTCGATGAAGGAACTGGCCGTTTTCGGTTCGCGAGGGGGCGTCGCGGCCGTCATTTTGGCGGGTCCAGGTCCGTCGGTTTCGGTCCCGGGCCGTGTTCACTGAGGGGAGGTTTACTGAAGGGAGGCTTGTCCACCGCCGAGAGATGCAAATTGCACCAGAGGAGAGCCCCAGTCAGGGGATGGTGTTCGCTGCAGCTTGCAGGAGATCCACCGGGAACCCAGGAGCCCGGGAAGCCAGAAGCCACCGAGGTCGGCCTGGAACCAAGGACCGCGGGAACCCGGGAACCCGGGAGCCCAGCCTGCCGCCAACATCGGCGGGGAAGGTTCGCCACATCTTTTTCCACTTCCGCCAGGGCCCCTTCAGTGCAAGCACTGGTTGGGGGAGCAGCACGCCCTGGCAGGAGGCTGTGCAGCAGGCAGTCTCGCCGGCGTGGAGCACCCGAAGCAGTCCGGGCCTCCGGGTGCCCATCGGTCGTGGAGGGTCCTGAGGTTCCTGCGGTCCCAGACTCCAGTCTGCTTGAGCCGCCTCCCTGCTTCAATCATCGCGCGGTCTTCCCCTCTCCTTTCACTCTAGGGTTGTGATGTTCCAACCTGCTTTAGCCTTGACCACCAGAAAGAATTTCGAGCACCAGAAAAGTACCCCAAAACTCGAGGGTTTTCACGTGCCGGGCCCTGGGAGACACTGTTTCGACAATGTTTCGACACTCTTTCGAAACTTTTCCAGGTGCTCGGAATTATTTCAGGGATGTGGTCCTTAAGTACGATTGGAACTGTTTCGACACTCTTTCGAAACTTTTCCAGGTGCTCGGAATTATTTCAGGGATGTGGTCCTTAAGTACGATTGGAGAAACATAACTCTAGGGGGGGTGACGGGAATCCAAGTTACAGTCGGGCCGCTGCAGGAGAAGCCCTTGTCGTTGGGGAGGGGCTCAGTGTTCCTTCCTCGTTTTACAGCTTGTCTTGGGTTGCCCTTGAGTTTTCTGTGGGAGAGCGAAGTTTCATGTATGCCAAAAATGGGGGCCTCGCTCCCTATCCAGGGTTCCCTGTGATAGCGTCTGGGCCGTGCTGTCAGCGCCGTCTTCTCATGCTTCGGCACGCTGCTTCCGTCCGATGGGCCACCCGTCGAGGCAGCATGGGAGCAATGGGCTGCCTGGGCCTTTGGCCGTGCTCCTCTCAGGAGGGAAAAAAACACACACACGGACACAATCAACCGTCGATTCCCAGGAACATGCGGAAGAATAGGGGAGGTGGGGGGGAAGACGAAGACCGAGAACACATGGGAACATGTGGGGAATCCTTTGATTCGTGTGGTATTTGTTTGTGTGTCTCAGGGCCCCTTCGTCCTCCTCGGCACGCCGCGGGCGCCGGAGGTGGGGGCCTGCAGGCCCCGACGCCCGACGCCTCGGTGCTGCCGGGGGCGACTCCGCGCACGGCGCGGGGCACTGCCTCCGCGATTGCTCGTCGCCCGCCCCCCGACGATGCCAAGGGACGTCAGGGTGCTCAGGACCGCGAGAGCGCGAGAGACTGGCCCGCGAGAGCGGCCGAGGACGGGCCGACGAGGACGGACGCACGGGCACCCCTGGGAGCTCACTCGGCCCGCTGAGCCTGTCCGACTGCAGTCCTCGCCCCCCTCTTGGGCGCCCCCGGGGCAGGCAGGCCGAGGGGGAGGAAGAAGCCGAACCCTGTGGCCCAAGGTGCCCCCCAGACCCCCCGAAATTGATATCGACGGCGTGGCGACGGGGGGGGCGTGAGTGGACAGAACTATTCGAACCCCAAAGCACCGCCTGTACTGAGATCAACATTGATGTTGGGGGCGCGGGGGTGATTTAGAATCTCCCTCGAATGTGTAAGGGTTCGAATGTATTGTCCATCTACTGGAGCTCGGGGATGTTCCCGTACCCTTGTTTGGGCTCAACCTTTCTGCTCCCCTCGAGGAGCCCACGACCCCGGAGGATAGGGGTCGACATATCCCTTGGTAGAAGGGTGCGCATCGGGCCGGGTCACTGAGATCCCCGATTTCTCGGTGTCCGATGTTGTCCCGGTTTTGGTTCCGTCTTAGTGCACGGGTTCTGTTCCCGAGTGGGGGTGCCAGGCGGCAGCACGCAGGCGAAGTGCGAGCACGCGATCCGGCTGCGACGAGCCAGGATGTGCCGAGCTGTGCTCGGCCCGGCAGCCAATGGGGAGGCTGAGGAGTGCGCTGCGAGGGAAGGCAGGGTCAGAAGGCAACGAGCAGGAGGAGCAGCGGGGAGCCAATTGCACGGCGAGGGGGGGGGGGGGGGCGAGGAGGAGGTTTTTGGGGGTCGTCCCCGGGCCGGGCGGGGGCCCTGGGGGCCGAGACTGGCCGAACGCCTTCGCACTTTTGTTGGCTGCGCACGGCCAGGAGGCCCAGGTTTTCCTCCTCCTCCTCCTCCTCTCGGGTCAGGGGCAACGTCCTCCTCCTCTTGGCCTAGGTCCTCCTCCTCCTCCTCCTCCTCCTCCTCCTCCTCCTCTTCCTCCTCCTCCTACTCCTCTTGGGTCAGGGGCTACGCACTGCCAGGAGGCCCAGGTCCTCCTCCTCTTGGCCCAGGTGCTCCTCCTCTTGGGAGGATAAGCTCAGGGGGCACGCATCGACCCCCGGTCACCCAGGCCTGGGAGCCCGATGTCCGCCACAGAACTATACACACGGACGCGCTCCAATGGATTGATCCTGGACCTCAGGGAAGGGTGGCGGTGCATAATTCACCGTTGGGAGCCAGCGATGTTACACACCGCCGCCCTCTCCGAAGGTACATGCAAAGCTCGTCGCAGACCGTCAGTGTATTTATTCTCGTGGCGTATGATAGCCTTCCCGACCCAAGTTCGAGCAGTGGCGAAGCGTCCTGGCTTACTTATAAGCCCACCGAGGAATGTTCTAAGAACCTTATGTGGTGCCCAGAAAGTGTGCAGTGCGGCAGAAAACGAATGGACATCTCAGGCGTTTCGGTTGAACCCTCAATGCGATTTATTACTGGGTGCGCGACGCCGACAGGGTCATCCGAAGAAATGGTGGTCCGATGATATGATATTGTACATTACGCAGGGCCCGACTGGATTTCCAAAGCCCTCTCCGACAAATGGGATGATTTGAGGCAGCTTATGTAGGCAGGACGGCGCCTGACCCTTCTTCTTTGTAGTATGTTTCATATTGTAGCGTAGCATGTGCACGTGTGTGTTGTTTGTTCATCTGTCTCACATTTGCCCGGTGCCACGGCCCCAACCTGCGATTCCCCCGCCGGCGACAGCTGCAGGTCCGATGTCCGATGTCCGAAGAACCTTTTGTGGTCTGCACGAAATGTTCTTATAACAGTTCTGAGTGAGACTATTTTGTTTTCACATCGGGATTCTGTCCTCAGAGCATTGATTTTTGGTATTAGAACATTTTTGGTGTTCTGGGAACATGTGGTGGTAGGCCAATGGGACTGCCAGGACGGCCGGTCCCTGCTCAACAAGAACGTGCGGTTTTGCTATCGGTGGCCTACCGCCGATTTATCGGTGATGTACCGCCGATTCTGGCTCGATGGTTCCGCCCCTGAGCTGGTCCCCCCTTACCGGTCCCCCTCAAGTTGGTGGATGCAGAGGCAGACCCCCGCAAGAGGTCGCCTCTGCGGTGCCCTCGGGATCTGGACTTGGAGCTGGCCACATCACCCCTCCAGACGGGGGGGGATCGCGGGACGCGGGGCTGAGCAGCCCAGGCTGATGTGCGTGGCGGCATGGCGAAAAAGAGTAAGAGAGAGAGAGAGAGAGAGAGAAAAAAAAAGTGAGCAGCTTCGGCCTCGGAGAGCCACTCTGGGGAGTCATCCGGCTCAGATTGCTCCGACGCTCTGACGCTGATGGGCGTGTGTTCCGCCACCACCACAAGCTGGAGGGGGGGATCCTCCTCCTCCGCCTCCCCCCGCCCTCCTCCTCTTCGTTCTCCTCCTCCCTCCCCCCCTCCGACTCATGGAGGTGGTGGTAGAAAACCGGGTCCTCAGGCGCTGCCCCGACACCGGAGGCGACCGGGGGCCCCCACTCCCCAGGCCGGCCCTGGCGAGGGGCCAGCGATATCGGCCGGCCAGGCCCGCCTTCGCCGCCGGGGCGCAGAGTATCCTCGCGCATAAGGGCGCGAACAGCTCCATGTCGGAGAAGTCCATGAAGCGCATCGGTGCTCCTCCTCCTCCTCCTCCTCCTCCTCCTCCTCCTCCTCCTCCTCCTTCTCCCTCCCCCCTCCTCCCTCAGGAGGATCCTGCACCGTTTTTATGTTATGTTTGTCTTCGCCCCCCGCGACCCCAACTTGGTATTGGCAGGCTGTGGCGCGGTTCGTCGATCCGCCGACTGGCCCAGATGCTGCACCCCGCGGGCGCAGCCAAGCAACGCTGAGTCGAGGGCAGGGGGGCGCGTGGAAGTTTGCGCCGTCGCCTCGCTTGCGCGGCGAGTGCGGGATTTTTTGTCCATCAGCCGGAGAGATCTCCCAGACCCCCCCCGCCGATCTCGACCTTGGCCTCTGGGGCCCGTGCCATCGAAGAGGGGCCCAGGGCGAGAGACGACACACCGGGGGGAGAAGGCGGTACCACTAGTAAAATATGGGAAGTGGGGGGGAAGACAAAAACCCAGAAAATATTGGAAAATATGGGGGATCATGTTATTTGTGTGTATTTATTTGTGTGTCCCAGGGCCCCTTCATAGGGGGCCGCGGATGGAACAAATCACACCAGCGGGGGCCAGGGGAACAAATCGCAACGTTCTTCTTGCCCGACCCAGCTCGTCACTCCTGGCTTCTGAGGGCCCCTACCGCTGCCCCGGGGCCGCCAAAGAGCCGCTTGGCATTCAAAGTTGGCCCCAGGGAGGATGTCCAGATCACAGGGCCCCACGTCGCGAAACAATCACGAGATCAGGGGGCTGAGGAGGATCGCGCCGCATCGCCAATGCATTTGAGATACGGGGCGATAGGGAGCTTGTTCTTATTCATTCCGCTGTCTCCCGTGCATCGCCGATGCGTCGGCGATGCGACGCGACTCTCCGACCCCATCTGCTCTAACCCCATGTCGAAGGCCTCCAAAGATACGACGCAGTTGGTCTGATTCGTAGTGCGGTCTGCAACCTGAAGGGTACGTATTGCTCTCGTGTACAGTCAATCGCGTCTCATGTCATCCTCACGCATGTTACCCAAGGAACAGACCCACGTTCTCTCGGGTGTCCTTTGTAGCCGATACACTCTGTGCCGTCACGCATCCATCCGTTTCGCAGTTTTGGGTCTCCCGGGGGGCCTTCGCCGCCACTTCCAAATTCTCATCGGTGTCCTGGTCAGGATGCGCCCTGAGAGTGGACCGGGGAGTAGAGGTAGCAGTATAGTTCTGCTCCCCCAGGTGCTGTCATCGACACGCTCGACGACATTCTCGCCAGCATCGAGAGCGAGGAGACGGAGGAGACTATCTGTACCCCTCGCTGCACTCTTTGACCCCTTCTTGGGGGGAGGGTGGGCGATGCTGCTTGCCTTGGGCAGGCTAGCTACAAGGAGCGCAAGGAACGCCACGCTCTGGCCCGCAGCCCGTCGCGCCCACTGTCAAAATCGATTCGGCAGTGAAGGCGAGACAGCGCAGTCATGATTTATTTCGAAGCAGTGGCCTTCACCCCTCTACCCGATGCCAGCCGCCCTCCCCGTTGAAAGTCCCCCGACCAGGGCCTCCCACTCCCTTCGGAACTTCAGTGGCGGCTTCCGTCTGCCACTGTTGATGTCGCACACTTTCACTGCAGGTACGTAGACATCGAATGACACCCCCTGAATGCTCATGAGCGAGGTGGTGGGCGAGAGTGTCTTGCTAGTCTGGTCGCCGATCGTACGTGTACCAGGTCGCCCTGCCCCCTCTCGACTCCGCGAGACTGAGCGCCGCCGAGAGGACTTGCGATGTTGAGCCCCCTCCGCACCTGCCTTGACCCACCTCCTCCACCCACGCGGCGTTGCACCTCCACTTTTTCACGGGACTCCATACTTTGGTGCGCCCTGTTGCCGAAGGATACCACATGTTCAAACAGGAGCCTTCTGCATATCGTGTTGTTGTGCTGCGATTGTTTCGCCCATACGCCTCTCCGCGCTCCCGCGTCCGTCGGGCCCAGGAGTCGGCAAACGTGGGGAAGTTCCTGCAGTGGTGCAAGTGCGCAGTTGTTTGTTTTTCTTCCCTGTTTGCAAAGCACCACTGACTTACACCAGCGGGTCTAGTCAGAAGAACCACTGAGGTGAGCGGCGGGAGTCGTCGTGATGCAGTGACATGGAAGAATCTCGAGTGGCCTTTCAATTCATCGCCAAATGCATTTGTCGTTGATGAGCCTATTCTGCTCTACGGTTGCACATGCTCCCGAGGATTGAGGATAGGCCGGTGGCAGCTGTGTCCGTGAGTGGGGGACGAAGCAGTTTTCCGAGGGCGGCGAGGATACTCATTTGCTTCTTTCAGCCACGAGGGTGTGGGGGCACTGTCGTGGCATCTTTCAGCCATCTGGCAGTTTCAAGTTGTGGGGCCTAGCAGTTTCACCCGAGGGCCAACGGTGCTCCGGTCGCAGCTTCGACCGTTGCTGGCGCGGCAGTGGGGCATGCTATTTTTGGGGGGAGGGCCTGCGGTTGGCCATGCGAGCGGGGTCCGAGCGGGAGATGCGGAAGTTGGAACCTTGGCAGTTGAAGCGCGAGGGGATTTCTTCTGCACATCGGTCATTGCTCACTATTCGAAAGTTCTTTGATCTTTGGGGGGCCAAGATCCTTTCGTTTCTGATTGTTCTATCCTGGGCCTCTTCCTGGCCACCAGGGGGCCAGGATCAACTAGAAACGAGCACAATTAGAAATGAGCACGATTAGAAATGAACGAAGTGTACCGTTTTGTTCTCTGGTGGGGGGGCACGGCAGTGCGCGTCAGTGGCGAGGATGTTTGGTCGACTGTTTTGGCAGGCAGCTCGGTCGCAGATTCGCCCAAGACCGGTGGGGGGGGGGGGGGCGGCCAGTGCAGGTTGGGCGGGGACTGGCCGCCGCCCCCGGTTCTCAACTGGGATTCTGGGCGCGCTGAATGCTCAGCGGGGCGTTCCTGGAAGGGCCTTGCCTTCGAGGGTCGAAGAGGCTGGCATCTCCACCCCGGCGGAGGCCGGCAGAAAAGAGGCCGGGGCGGCTCCGTGGGCGGAAGCCGGCGGAGGGCGGCGGAAGCAGAAGGCACGCCCCCAAGAGACGAGAGCATGGTTCAGAGCTCCCCGAGTCGGCCAAGGCACCCCTGAGCTGACAGTTCTCGAAGCCTCTCCAGGGGTCCTTCGGCCCACGTCGTACTTTTTCTGGGGCCTTCCGTCCAGGGAACAGCTGGCGGCGGTGGCGCGGAGGGCCGTGCTGTGCGTGCGCAGCAGAGCGCGCGCCCGCTCGACAGCGTACGAGCACAGGGCCTCGAAGATGGGCCAGCGCGGCTCGCGTGGAGCTGGTGCCGCATGTGTGACGGTCTTGGTTTAACACATCGGGCTTACGTTCTAAGAACATTGTTTTTGTTCTCAGAACATTTTTGGGTTCTAAGAACATTTCGTGGTAGGACTATAGGAATACCGGGACAGTCGGTCCCTGCTCAAATGTGGCGCCGGGGATCTCTGACACGCAGCGCGGTATCGTTGGAGGCCGCATCATGTCGTGGAAGTTGGCGGGCATGGACGAGAGCATGCAGCTCGTTGCGCTGTCCGCGGAGCCCGGCGCTGGGGAGCTGTTCCACTTCGTGGCAGCTTTCCCCGGCGTCGCTCGGGATCTCCTGCGCGAGCTCTCTGCTTCACTGGGATGGCCACTGTGGTTGTTGCCGTTCGCGGAGACCCTCTACCAGAACACCGTGTGCCGCCTCCTTGTCGACGGCGCGTGCTTCGACGGCTTCGTCATGGAGTCGTGCGTCCGGCAAGGATCTGCTTGCCGTCGCCGCCGCTCGTCGCAGTGGCCGCTCGCTTTTGCTGCTCCAGCGCCTCTCCCGTGCTTTGCGCCAGACGCGCTGGTGAGGGCGCCTGCGGATGACCTCGCCCCGACTCTGCCGCAAGGCGTGGCCTCGGCGAGCATCTTAGAACCATTCTTTGACAGTGCGTCCGCATCTTAGACTTGTAGCTGCACCACGGCAAATCGCGCTGGGTGCCTCTATACCCCGTCGATTTCGAGGCCGAAAGGGCTCGTCTACGTGCGCATGCTCCCTCGTGGGGGGATTTCGCCGTCAGCTTGGCTGCCACTGATCTTGGCTCATTGATTGGTCTGGGGCGCGGTTCGACATCTTAGGATGAGGCGCTCAAGAAGCACTACGGGAGGTCGCAGATTTAGGGGGCCATCGGAGGCGGAATGATATTACCACTAGCGACCCACAAGACGTACGTTTTACCCGCGATGCCCTTCCTGGTGCAAGTGGGCGAGGTCCATTACATGCAGGATGCCCACGAGCGTCGCGCCGTAGCTCGGCTTCTCCCTGGACCCCGGGGGCGGTTACCTCCTGATGTTCTCCGTGGCGTCGAGCAAGCCACTGCTCCGCAGGCGTCCCGGATTCTCGTGCGCTCGCCGACGCAACCAAAAGCAGGGCCTTCTATTGGGATGCCCTGGATGGAGGGAAGGGCGGCGTTGCAGAGAGAGCTCGGGTGCTTCGCCTGCTCCGGTCGGAGAGCGAGTCGACAGATTGGCGCTTCCAGCTTCCTGTTCTCGCTGGAGCGCGGGCGAGCGCGTTCGGCGCGCGACACCTGGCACGATCTGCAAGGCACAGCTGCAGGGCAGCAGTGGCAACGCACCTGCTACAAAATCACCTCGAGGACAAGATGACGTCGGCAACGTCTGCGACAATGACGAAGATGGCACCAGGACCGCGGCCTCGTATTCTGCGGCGCAGGAGGGGCAACGACACTGAGCTCTACGCGCATGGCCACGTGCCCAGAGGGCTCGCAAGCAGTAAGCTGCGGCTCCCAGACATCACTCCGCCAGACAGGCTGCAGCATTCACCAGGGATTGGAGCGCCGTGAGCGCGCGACTGCACAGTTGACACCATGGCGCTTCACGCCCTGCACAGCACGCGTTGCATGTTGAGGCACGGCCGCCCTCCCGCAGCTCGAATGGCCGACTGGCTCTTCCGGCGAGCTCGTGAAGGCGTCCGGGGTCACGCGCGCGCCATGCGGACGTTCACGGCCGCTTTTGGCCGGCTCCCCGTAGTCCCTCTGTTCCTCCTTTGCTCTCCCGCCGCCGTTGTTGTCGCTGTTATCCGTGTTGTCTTCTTCCTGCGTTGTGACTTCGCGGGCTGTTTTTTCGCCGTGCTGTTATTCGTCTACCTTGCGGGCTGTTATCACGCCGTGTTGTTTTCTTTCTCTGCCTCGTTCTCCTCCTCCCCCTCCTCCTTTCCTCGCCAGTCCTTGCTCCCGGCGCTGCGCTGAAACGGGTTGCGTGCGAGTTCGTATCGTTATAACCGCCCAGGTTTCCGCCAAATGGGCCTTCTTTGGTCCTGCCCGTGTCCGGGGCCATTGCCGAACTTCGAGTCCATGATCTAGTTCCCCGATTCGAGGGGCACACTCCCCCCCTCGACCGCTCTCCTGGGCAATGATTGTTACGGGTAGCTATTTGTGTTAGCGCACGCCTGTCCGGGGGGGCAGGCTTTGTCCACCCAGGCTAGCACTCACAGCAAGCAGCAACAAACTCGTGGCAACACCATTGGGGCCTCGCGGGTTCCTCCTCCTTCTCCTTATCCTCCTCCTCCTCCTCCTCCTCCTCCTCCTCCTCCTCCTCCTCCTCTTCGTCCTTCCTCCATGCGCGCCAATACCTTGGTAATAACTGTCACGGGTAGCTCATGGTGTCATTACGCTGTTTCCCTGGCTAACGTGTTTGCAGGTCGGCTTGTGCGTCGCTCCGGGTTTGGTCTCTGGGATGTGCTTCGGAATAGCCGACGCGTTGAGTTTAATTCGCTTCGTTTCCCGAGCGCGCAGGGCATACCGAGGGGAACCCAGAGCTCAAGCAGCCGTCAGTCGGCTGCCTGAGCTCGTAGGTCGTCGTCGATCATAGAGTGCAACACAAAATGGTCGCAGGGTGGCCTGCGAGAGGCCCACCGCGGCCTCAGACGGCCCCAGGACGGCGCCCAGCAGTCGCCAAGAGGGGGCCCAGAAGGCAGCAACAGGGCCCCAAGGGGCCTCCAAGATGGCCCCAGACGCCCCAAGATAGCCGCAGCAAGACCACCAGTCGGCCCAAGTCATTGAACAACCAGTCGTTCTCTTGAAGATTACCTGTGCGCTCGGATTCCCAAGCTTTTCGGATCAATTTGGCCCCACGGGGGCTTCGATCGAAGAGCCCCAACAAGTATTTAACGGTTCCCAAGAGTAGCCCAATACTTTTGTCCCCAAGGCCTCACAGGAGGGCTCTCCAATTGCCCCAGGTCAGTCCAAGGGGACCCTGGGACCCCAAATCGAACCCAAGAGCCCACCCAACTCGACCGACAAGGTAGGCTCAAGGTCGCCCCAAAACTCTCCCAAGACTGCGAAGAGGGCCCCGGGACCCCGTGAGCGCGCCAAGACGGCCAAGAGGGAACTCGCCAAGGACGGCGGCCGCTGAGGCTTCGAGACCATGTCCACGGTGGACGAAATGTTTTGATGTTGGCTTTTCGACGGGGTGCGAGACAGAGGCGTCTACGATATTTGATCAGTAGTTCAAGTTCTACCAGCAGAGGTCGAGGGCTTGTCTGTGGACGCTTGGTCCGTGAATGGGGGGACATTGCAGTTACCAGCCTGCGGGGGTATTTGACACCATTGCGACAGTTTGTTCCGCCAGATGTCGGAGATCTCATCACAATGACTTGTTTGCCCGTAAAATGAGTACATGGCGTGGAGCTGTGCCCGCGCAAACGTTCGCCACCTGACGTTGGCCTGGTGGGGGGGGGCGGGCGGGCAAAGGGCGAGTTGCCCAATGATATCATGCGTTCATACACTTGACCACCTACTTGAGCGGGAAACCTGTCGGTGGCATGGGGCGTACCGTGGATATGAAAGCCCATCTCGTTCCCCATTCAGCATTCCTGGTGGCCGCTGGCAGCACGACCTTGGCCTGCTCCCTGAAAGCACGACGGGAGAAGCGACTGATTAGGTGAGACGCTGAGGCCGCTCCGCGAATGCCTCTGGTCGGCCCGCGCATTCCCGATGACTCCGAGGCGCCAAAAACATCCATGCCCGCCGCATCTTGGGGTCCCAGGATCTCGGTTCTCCAGGCGGTGGGTCCGGATCACTCCCCGCCTCGCAGGGGCCCCTTGACCGTGCCCTTGCGTTCCTCGGCTCGTCCCGCCGCGCCCGCCCCAGGGACAGCTCCAGGACCATGGCGAAGGCCCTGGACCAGGCCAAGCGCGACCTCGAGGAGGCCTCCACCGTGGACCAGGCGCGCCGGGCGGACAGCCGCGCCCCTCGTGCCGCCTGCGGCCCGCCCGCCGTCCGTCGGGGAGGAGGGAGCGGGATGGGGGCGGGGGGATGCGATGGGGGGCCGAGAGGGGAGGAGCAACGGCGGGATGGAGCGAGGGAGGGCGGGGCTGAGGGGGGGGGGGGGGCGGTCGGTGCGGGAGGATGGGCCGCAGGCAGGCGTCGCTTCCTGCCTCCGCGCTTCTCGAACTTATCGGTCGCCTGGAAGCTTCCTCCTCCGTCTGCTCCTCGTTCGCCTCCTCCTCCTCCTTCTCCTCCTCCTCCTCCATCGCTTTTCCGTATACGTAGCACGTCCCCGTCGCACCCCCAGACGTGTGGGTAGGGCGGGCGGGGGCCGGTTTGATTGAGACTTCACATCATTTCTGATCCGGCAGCTTGACATGTGCAACGGTTTCGCGGATGGAGGGCGGGTGATCATCAACATGTGACGACGCTTCAGCCCCGCACTCTAGTATTGTTAAAAGCTTGCAGCGGCTTCACGGCGTGAGGGAGGGTGGTTTTTTAATTGTGATTCTCGCTGTAGCGCGGCGCACATTCGTTTGAACACTTGCAGCGGCTTGAAGAATGGAGGGCTGCTCCTTTTCAACATGCTGCTCTCTCCATTCGCGCCGCGCAAAGTCGTCTTCAACATGCTCGACACTTTGACGAGTTCGTACTGTTGAAGTCACACCCAAAAAAAAAAAACCTCTCTCCATCCTGCAGCTCCGTATGGCATGTCCAGGTGATCCTGGCCACAGTATCGGTCAGTTGCGCCCCTCCCAGATCTTCACGGCGCGCGCGTGCACACGCTTAGGTCATGATCACTGTCGCGCACGCACACACACACACACTTTGCGTCGGCGGCTGGGCAGAGGTCGACTGCCCCGGCGGAGTGGCAACAGGGGACACGCTGTATGCAAATTCAGGCCGCAATGCACGGAAGGAGGAGGAGGAGGAGCCCTGGCGCGATTGGGGGGAGAGGAAGCCGGGCCACCTAGAGCTGCGCACACACACACACACACACACACACACACACACACACACACACACGCGCGTTCCTCCGCAAGCGAGCTGGCGCCAGTGTCGCGAAAGCAAGACAAGGGGTGCGATCAAGCAGAGTGCGCCCAGCGGTCCAGCGTTCTGGATGCGAGGCAAGCAGGAGACCAGGCCCACCAGAGTACAAGGGTCAAGTCGGGCGTGTCCCTCTACAGGAGGAGTATTCAACAATAGTAAAAAAATAGTGGGGGACGTTTTGGGGAGTATTTTTTCCACTTTGGGAGTATTTTGTATCAGTTTTTTTGTTTTTTGCTTTCCTTTTTTTATTTTTCGTCGGCAGTCTGCCTTGAGGGGGACACGCCCGACCTCATACAAGGGGACTGCCTAGAGCACCTAGGGTGGAAACGGCGCACAGCCCACTCATTCAAACACAAGCACACCTACAGTCAAGCAGTGGCGATGTGCCCTGGTTCGCTTGTAGGACCGCCAAAGAATGTTCGGAGAACCTTCTGTGGATTGCACGAAATGTTATAATAACGTCTTGTGGTCCGCGCGCAACGTCATTAGAACATGTCTAGCTGGCACTGTCTTGTGTTAACACATCGGGTTAATAGTATAAGAACATTGGCTCTTGTTGTTAAAACATTTTTGGGTCCTAAGTACATGTCGTGGTAGGCCTATAGGAATGCTAGGACGGTCGGTCCCTGCTCAATGCAGCGGGCATCAGGTCAGGCCTCGCCGCCCGCGGTGCGGCTTTGGTGGCCAACGCGGCGGCAGGGCTCCCAAGTAGCGCGTAGAGGTGCCGCCCGCCTCCCGCGCGCCGCCGAGCTCGTCCTTCTGCCGTTTTTGTTGCGTCGTCGTCGTCATCTTTTTCGTCGTCATCGTCGTCGTCGTCGTCATCTCCCTCCCCCCGTCCTCCTCCTCCTCCTCCTCCTCACCCTCCTCCTCGTCCTCCTCCTCCTCCTCCTCGTCCTCCTCCTTTTCCTTCTCCTCCTCCTCCTTCCCCTCCTCATCCTCCTCATTCCTACTTGGGCGCGTGCTTGAGCGCTTGCCGCTGCTCTGTGCACTGACTTTGAGCACTATGCAAAATGAGATGAGAGCTTCGCCAGGAGAATCGCATCTTCCTTCCTCGTTCTCGTTTTCCTCCTCCTCCAAGCACCCTGGCCCAGGTCGGGGGATTGCATCCGCTAGAGAAGTACAGAACCATCTCCCTCACACATTCCTTTTTTTCTGACGGTGGTGCGACACAGCACTGCAAGTTCTAATGCACATCCTTTGAGTTGTCCCCATTTAGGGTTGATTCGCAGATCGCCGCTGACAACCAAGACCTGGCTTTTGTTGCACATCGTGTAGGGAGCTCCCACTACGCAGCATAATCCAATGCTTGCAGCGGGACGCGACCGATCACGCTATATTTTTCCAGTCACACAGCAGTTCGACTTCGTATGCTTGATGGGCATGGGGTCCAAGAAACACGGGAAGGAGAAGGTGGCTTGGCGCAGGGCAGGAACCATATTATTTGTGGAGGCCCGGCAGACCAGGGCACCATAAACTAATCGAAGTTCAGGCTGCACCACCGTTTTGGGCCAACGTAGTAGAAACACACTGGTGACCCATACTTGGTCGACCCCAGCTAACATTGCAGGGACCGGAGTAGCTTTTCGGGCGCGGTGCGGCTTGCATGACCTTGGTGTTGCGAGTGCATGTTCTTTCCGCCGTTTCCCAACGCATCATACATAGTACACAGGATCTGTAATTAAATGTGATGGGTTAGTTTCTTCCGTTCCTCGCTTTAGCTTGGCGCTCGCCAATTTTCGCGATGGATTGAAATTCAGGGTTTGGGTACCCGAGACGGAGTGGTAGTGAGGAGTGGACGGCAGTTCAAGGCGACCGCATCGGTCCAGAGGAATGGTACGTTTGGCAACGGCATGCTGCTGATGCCATGTTCCCCCTCATGCAGTCTCTTTGTCTTGCCCATGTAGGTGCGCACGCTGGAGCAGGACCAACCTATTACGCATCGGCGGGAGGCAGCTCCCTCATCGATCATGTCATCATCCCTCGGCGCGCGCGGGAGCAGGCAACTTCAGCAGGGCCGCGCAGGGCGCTTGCCCGACAGTTCCGGCCTCATCGCGACTGCATTCCAGTTCGTGCCAGATCTGCACGCGCACTCGGGGCCATCGCGGGGGGAGAAGGGTCAGGGCCCCGGGCCAGCGTGCGCTGCGTTTGGGTTTCGAGGTGCACCCCGCGGAACAGGGAGGCACTCGTGGATTGTCTCCGACTCGGAACCCGCTGGAGGCCAAGGCGGAGGATGACATTGAGGCGTCGCAGCCATGTAGGAGAAGGAAGAGCGAACACCGAATGCAGAATGGGGATGCCCCGCCAGCGCCTCGGGCGCAGTGGGTGACGCAGATTTGGCAGGGGCAGTTTTGATATCCGTTGAGCGCTCGGGGCAGGTCCGGAACGACAAACTGCTGTTCGCCGGCCGTCGCCGTCTCCCGGCGGGATTGTCTTCGCCATCTAAGCAGGAGCTAGAGCAGCTCTCGGAGGAGATGCCTGTCCCTCTAGCGCCGCCCCGGGCACGGGCGGGGGGGCGGGGGCGCGCTTCTCGCTCGAGGGGCGCAGGGCGGAGCGCAGAAGCCGCGGCAGCGTCGGGCGCGCCCGAGAAGCGCCGGGCGTCGCCGGGCGTTTCCCGGACGTCGGGGGGGCTGGCGCGGGCGCCATGACTTAATCGTCGATCCCCCGGGAAACGTCCGAGAATATAGGGAGGGGGGAGCGAAGCCCAGGAGATAGCAGAATTAATGGGAGGTCCTATTATTTGTGCGCATGTACTTGCGCGTCCCAGGGCCCCTTTCAGAATGGCGGGCCCCCCTGGAACTGTTCTGGGCGATGTTTCCCACGCCGCCGAGCGGCTAGAAGATATCGGGGAGGTGGGCATGGGGCCCCGTCCATGCAGTGAGCTTCGCGCGACTCGTGGGTTCTTGGTCTCGTAATCGCGCGCAGTGCTGGACGGTCCCGACAGGCCCCCTCTTGTGCGGCATCTCTCGCGGGCGATGGCATGGCGCTGTCGTGGAAAAGGGTCGCGCGCGCTCTACCTGTTCGGCGAAGCCATGGTGGCTGCGCGCGCTCGCCGGCGGGGAAGGGGCGAATCGCTTTTCCTATCTTCGGGTCTCATGGGTGCGTTGCCAGGCGCCGACGCGAGACCTCTCGCCCGGCGCAGCGCGCCCCTGGCTGGAGGTCTCACATGCCAGGGCGCGACGTCGTCAATGGCCATGGATCGAGCGCGCTCAGCCCCGCGTGGCCCCGCGAGCCCGGCCCCCCCCCTAAGCAAGCCAATCAGGAGGCCATGCGGGTGGGGAGGCGCTGCGATGGGGAGCCGTGGTTCAATCGAGCAGTGGCGAGGCGTCCTAGCTCGCCGATCGGCCACCAAATCATGTCCCGATGACCTTGCGCGGTCCGCGCGCAATGTTATTGGGTCACTTATGGCTGGCACTGGCTTGCTTTCGCTCATTTATTTGGCTTGCGTTCTAAGAACCTTGCTTTTGTTACAAGAACATATTGGGGTTCCAAGAACGTTCCGTGGTAGGCCAATGGTGATGCTGGGGCGGTCGGTCCCAAGTCAGGTTTCCAGCTGTCTGCATTCGGGGATTTGGCAGCCGCCGGCTTGCGGGTTCTTGAGCGGGGGCCCCGCGGGGAGATCCGCGGGCAGCCGCGGTGCCCCCTGGAGACGTTGGCGGCTGCTCCGAGGGGGCCCAGGCGGAGCGTGCCGCCGCGGGGGAGTTCATCGCGGGGTTGCGCACTGTTGATCTGTAGCCATGTGGGCGCGATCCTATCGAGCTACCCTCGTTGGTTACGCGCGTCGCAAGCCGCAGTGGCGGGCTGCATCTGAGACGGTCGGCATTCACGGCGGGGCATTGGTCGATGGGCAGGCGCTCGCATCGGCTCCGCTTCATTCCCGTAGGAAACAGGGCCGTCGCAGGTCAGGTTGCAGGGCCCGCGGGTGCTGCACTGGGGGCCTTCCTTCCCGCGCTTCAGCGCGTGCTTCGCATCCAGAACGGCGCCGTTGAGCGCGGGCGTCGGGCGCCGCGGGGGGCCGTTGCAGAGTGGCGCGGCGACCTCCGAGGGCCCACCCCGTGCCATCGGGCGCCGCGGCGCGGCGAGTGCCCCTTGACAGCGCCGACGACTGGAACTCCCGCCCTCTGGCCTCGGTCTGCGATGGCGCTGTCGGACTTGTCTGGGGAAGAGGACGCGACGCAGCTGCGAGTTGCTTTTTGGGCAGCGTGCGCCCCTGCCCCTGGGCTGCAGGCGCAGGGGCCCCGTGCTGAACTTCCGCCTCGAACCTCGACGCTCTGATGCTGACGGTTATCGGCGCAGTGTTTATGGTGGCGGCCGGACATTGCATCGCATCCGCAATTCGCCTGTCACCTACGAGCGTCATGGGCTACAACGTAAACTCGGGCCCCATCACCACGGAAAACCATTGGTTTGTCAGTGGGCAGGTTCTCGAAGCCAGGACTTCAGCTTACAAGCGCGAGGTCGTCTCATTCCGCGCTGGCATTTTGCGCGGGGGGGCGGTCGCGCGCGGTTTTGTCGGCGAGGACGGCGCCAGTGCACGCGCGCGCGCCGCGTCAAGTGCCCGGGTTCGAGATGCAATCTTCATCGACATTGCCGCGGGCATTTCGCGGCCATGTCCACCGCGCTCGACGCTAGGGGCGGCGGCAGCGTTGGCGGCAGCGGGCGCGGCGCCGCGCGCGGCGACAGGGGCAGCCAGCAGCCAGGCAGAAGCAGCCGCTCCTCTTCAGCAATCTTGCAGGGCCCGAGACGCCGCCGCGGGCGCCCCCCCCCCCCCCGCGCAGCCGTCGCCCTCGGGGCGGCAACGCAGCCTCAGCAGCCGAGGGCCCGCGCAGAGGGGGGCAGCTTGCCAGCCTCAGGAATCAGACAGAGCAGGTCATGGACAACTCACAGGTCGGATTTCTCAAGGCGTCGGACAAGGCACTCGCGCGGCTGCGCCTGTCCAGCAGTCGCGGCGCGGCCGACCTGGCTGGCGCCCGCGTCTGCTGCCTCGTTCTGCCCGCGGCGGCGCCTGCGCAGGAGGCGGGCGAGTCGCGCGCCGAGCGGCGCAGGGGGCGCGGCAAGGGCCGCCGGGGCGGGCCGCCCAGGCCCCGCGCGCGGATGTCTCTCGCGCCCTGCTCAGGAACGACCAGTCTCGAACCAGATCACAAGGGGCTCTGCAGGTCCGCTGGGGCGCCGACAGCGGGGGGGAACTGCGAGCCCAAAGCAGCGCCGGGCCAAGCGAGGCGCTGCCGCATCCGCCCGACGCGGCTCAGGAAGAGGAAGAAGGAGGAGCCCGCGGCGATCGTGGCGCAGCCAATGGCGTCGGCGGGGGCCCAGACGGCGACGGCGGCGTGGAGCGGCGAGATGGTGGGCGCAGTTCACAGAGCTCTCTGTCAGAGTTTGACCGCGCCAAGTGGACAGTTCAAGTCTGGAGGTCCCCCGAAGTGGCGATTGGAGCGCGAGGCCGAGAAGTTGTTCGCCAAACAAGGCGCGCAGAAGGGCCCCGACGAGCAGGTGGAGGTGAGCGGCGACGAGGAGTCGGGCACGGGCGCGCGCGCTGATCGGCGTCAGTGGTTCTGGGCACGCGAATCACATGGCACGGGATGGACTGTTATTTGTTGTCGGATTTCGCGCGCTGCGTGCTCGCCCCTCCGCCCCCATCCTCCTCTGTGCTGTGCTGCTCCAACAGGCCAGTCATGTTTTGCATTCTATGATGCTCCATCCGGTTCTCGCTCTCCCTGGTTGAATTGACCTTTCGTGCGTCACGCGTGAGCTCAATGCAGGTGGGAATTGATCCAACCGTGGCCGATGCTTCTCTGGACTCGCGAGCACACAGTGGACTTCTGGCCATGCGAGGTAATAGTGTTTTGCGCAATCCACCACCCGCAGGACACATGTGCACGCGTGCTGGGCAAGATGCTTTCTCCGCTCGAACATTACAATTTTCATCCTAGCCTCAACGGGTGGTGGGCCGTTTGCTGATACGTTGCGCAGCCTTGGCGCAACCTTTCCGGCACCGTCCAGATCGCAGATCGACACTGAATTCGTTGCATTGTTCCAGAATCTCTGCATCCCATGCTCGTGCGCGTGGCCCATCAGTCGTCATTCGAGGTCCCGCAGAGGCGCGGTGCCCAGCCGAGGCATCCAGGCCCGTACTTTCTGGAGGCCTTCGGCTTCGGCAAGAAGCATCCCTTTGCAGGGGCATCGGAAAGTCGCCCCGTCTCGTCAGACAGCGAACGCAGATCCAGCGTCTACTGCTACGTCAAGTCAGCACTTTTTTTTCCGTGATTGCGTCCGTGCTGACAGCCCAATGGATCGTAAACGGTCATGTCTTGTGTTGTCTTGTCCTCCTCCTCCTCCTCCTCCTCCTCCTCCTCCTCCTCCTCTTGTTGTTGTTTGTTGTTATTGCTACTATGTGCTTATGTTTCCTCGTCCTCGCTCTCCTCCTCCTGATCCCTCCTCCTCCGCCTCCGCCTCCGCCTCCGCCTCCTCCTCCTCCTCCTCCTCCTCCTCCTCCTCCTCCTCCTCCTCCCCGTCCTCCTCCTCCTCCTCCTCCTCCTCCTCCTCCTCCTCCTCCTCTTCCTCCTCCTCCTCTTGTCTCTCCCCAGCATGATCCTCCCCATCGGTCCGATATCCCCCGTTCAGGAGCTCACCGCCTCCGTGGAGGGGCTGGAGCACACCCTGGGGGAGCCCGCCGGCCCGCGTGCCGCGTGCCCTCGACCGCGCCGTCGGTGCTCGCGCGCGTCGGTGCGCGCGGCAACGAGACGGCATGGATTGGGGCCAAGGCCTGCTCTGAAACAGTGGCGAAGCGTCCTGGCGTGGCTATAGCCTTACCCGGCAATGTTCTAAGAACTTTTTTGTGGCTTCCACGAAATGTTCATAGAACATGTATGGCGGTGTCTGTCTTGTTTTATCACATCGGGCTTATGTTCTAAGAACATTGCTTTTGTTATTGGAACATTTTGGGATTGTAAGAACATGTCGTGGTAGGACTATAGGAATGCCGGGACGGTCGGTCCCTGCTCAATGCTCTTACGGAACTTACAGAACTCCGCGATGGTTTCGTAAATCTGCGGTGGGCCCCCTCCTTCGCGCGCGGAGAGCGCGGGGGGCGGCGCCAGAGGCGCCACCAGGGTGGCCAAGCGGAGATGCCAGAAATCCGCTGGGACCCTCGAAAGTTTACGTGTCAGCCGTTTCCTTTTTCCTCCGCATGTGGCAAGTTGCAGAGCTTCCGCTCGTCGTGCAATGAATGTGTGGTGCCCGCTTGCGCGCGCGCCCCGCCCAATAGCGCCAGCAGCGCCGAAAGAACGCCGAATGGCGCTATGCGAGGGAGAAGCGTCGCGTCCGCGGTGCGCGCTGCTGGACGTGCGGCTGGGCGCCGTGCAGACGCCCAGAAGCTTCTGCGAGCTGCTTGCGAAATTCTCGTTGCGATGCTGGATCCGCCACGAAAGTACGGCCACAGAGCGCCCCGGACAGGTCTAGGGGCTTGTCTCTTCACAGACAACAGTCGGGCGACTACCTTCGCGCTGCGACCAACAAAAAACACGACGGACGTCGACCACGCGCAGAGGGGGGTGGGGGGTGGGGGGGAGGCTGCTTAGAAGCACCCCTGCTTCTTAGAAGGCGCGGGCCTCATGAATACATGTAAGGCCCGCGCCTTCTAGGAAGCAGCCTCCTTCTAAGAAGCCTTCCCCCCGTCCCCCACTCCCTTGTGCGCGCCGCCAAGGACGGATTTGGCAGTTTTCGGCCCCCCGAACCCTGACTGGGCCCGGGGAGCATCGTGAAACGAGCGGGACGAAGAGTTGGTCCTGGGCGCAGACTCCCGGGGGTCCGTCTCAATCGGATCGGTCCACGTCGATATCGATTCCGGCTAGTTCCATCCGATTTGATCTCGAGCTTCCCACCGTTCGATGCGGCCGGGTCCCTGGCGTCGCACGCACCGAAGAGAATTCGACGGCCAGCTTGTCGACGTTTCTAGCCTGCCCCTGGAGTTCCATCCCGAACCTCGTTGGCTTCTGAGCCCCCTGCGGCCACCGAGTGGGTGGCCGAACGGGCTCCCGTCCGAGAGGGCGGTGGGAATTCGCCCCGCGCGGCAGCCAAGCAGGCTCGATGCCGACCGAGCCCGTCCGCTCCACGGCGGCGAGTGCTCGCACGCCGACTGGGGCCCAGGAGGCAAGCCTCGAACTGATCCCGATCCCTAAGATTGACACGACAAAAAGCGATGACAATCTCAGGGATGCGCCCTCAAAAAATATGGGAAAAGGGAATCCCTATAGATGGGCATCGTGATGAGGAGATGCCCAGCACAGGGATAGGGATCTGTTCCAGGCGGGCAGACCCTGGCGCTGCGGGCCACTTCCTCGGCCCGCAGGAGCTGCAGAAGAAGGCCCGGGAGGAGGAGCTGGTCCCAGGGGAGCCCTGACTCCAGATCCGCCCTACTTTGGCTTTTTTCCCAACTTAAAATTGCGTCGGAAATCCACCTATAAGGAGGCCGAAGAAGTAGGGCGGAAATTGCTGCACACAACATAAAATGGGGCGAACATCCACAGAAGTAGGGCGAAAACAACAACAGAAAAGTAGGGCGGAACTTGGCATCAGCGGGGCTTGAAAAGTAAGGCGGAAATTCCAAGCCCTACTTACGAATTTCCCAAAGTAGGGCGGATCCAGAGTCAGGGAGGGGTCGAGATCCTTCGGACGGGGCCAGGACGAAGATAGATTGGTTCCAGAGCGCCCTGGAGCGCTCTCGGAGCGTGCCAGAACGCTCTGGGAAGGCCGCGGCGCCCGATGCATCTTCCAGACACCGGAGCCGCCGGATCTCAGAGGTTCTCGATGTTTCTTCGCCCGAGGCTGTCCTCGTCCCGGCTTCGTCTTAGGAGGGATCGAGATCCCCAGGGGCATCCGCAGATCACGCAGGGGAAGGCTCCGACCAGCGATTGCCCCTGAAACTAGTCGGCAGGGCGCGCCAGAGTTCGCTCGTGTCCCCAGGCGTAAGTCGGGCCTGTCCCTCTACAGGAGGAATTTTAAAATAGTCAAAAAGTAGTATGGGGAGGATTTTCTTGGCTAGTTATATATATACACACCATTTTGGAGGTATTGTTTGACTACCCGACCTAACCCAAGGCCGCTCCCGCGTGCTGCCGACGCCGGCTCCCACGGTGATGCCGGGTCTTTTCTGCGCCGCCGTCTTCTCCAGAGCAACGCTCGGACAGGGCTGCATCCCTCCTCGAAGTCAAGCGCAAGTTTTTCCCGCGACGTGGCGGCGCCACGTGACCCCAAAGTTTCAAGGGTCGCGCCGGAAATGGCGACTGCAAACACGGATCTGACCCCGTGGGCCGCGTTTCGTGCGTCGACCAACGTTGCAAATTTGCGTTTTATTTCGAGGAGGGTGGTAGGACGAGGAGAAATCTGTTCCAGAGCGTTCTGGGACGCCCTCAGAGCGTTCCAGAACGCTCTGAGGAGGACGCGGCGCCGGAGGCATCCTGCAGAGCCGCCGGATCTCAGGGACTCCCGAGTTCTCTTCGCCCGAGTGGAGCCTCGCCCTGGCCTCGTCTTCTCCGCGCGCGCAGGAGCTGACGGCCGCGACGCAGGAGACGCAGGACATGGTCGACCAGTCGCAGACCAGGCGCGACGAGGAGCCGGCGGGGAGAGACGCAGCCAGCCAGCGTCAAGTCGGACACGTCCCTCTCCAGGAGGAATCTTCAAAAATAGTTTCAGAAGAATTCGGGGGGGATTTTTGTTGTGATTATTTTTGGCTGCTTAGGAGTATTGTTGACTATTTTTCATTTTTCGTCCGAAGTCCTCTGCAGGAGGACGTGCCCGACCTGAGGCCAGTGGTCTGCACGAACGAAATGGGTACAGAAAGACTGGGTACAATGCCCCACAGCAGCTCCTGTTCATTCTGAACAGGACTCGCTGTCCGAGCCGCCGCGGCCTGTCTCCATTTGAGACAGAAGGCCGCCTGCCCAGCAGCGGCCGCTGTTGGTTTGGGACAACATTTGTTGTTTGGCATTGTGCCCATTTTTCCCATACCCATTTCGGGCGTCCAAAATAAACATGAACCCCCACCGGGGGGCCCAGGCGCGGATCCGAGAAGTCCGCGCGGAGCGCCGAAAGTCTATGTTTCTGTTGTTTTCCTTCTTCGAAAGTCAGTCGCAACGCTCTCGGCGTGGAGATGACGAAGACTATGGGCGACGGGCAGCTGAACAAGCGCATCCATGTGCAGGCAGAGCACTGCAAGAAGTCCCAGTACAACAACAGTTGTTGTTGGGCATTGCGCCCATCTTTTCCGTGCCCATTTCGGGCCTCCAAGAGTGGTGCGGGCGCGGGGCGCACGCGGCGTCGCCGCCCCGCGGGCGGGGTGCCGGGCGCCTCTCGTCGAGCCGGCGTCGGGGCGCGAGGGGCGGGGGCCGGTGCTAAGCGGGGGCACGACCAGAGCGCCCGAGAGCTCGCAGGATCTTTCAGTGCCAGGGTCGTGGAGGACGATCAATGGAGAGGAAACATGTTGCCAAGTGATTTCCAGATGTCCAAAACATGTTTTTTCTTAACAAAAATAGTAAGTTACTCACTGCGTGGAGCTCCCCATATGTGCATCTCATGTTTTATGTCATGCCACAGGGAGCGTCTGTTCATGAGCGCTTGGCTATAATATGCTAGAATAGCGAACGGGCCCGTGTCCTACCCCATGGCGGCTCTCCTTCGGGGTGCTGAAACTAGCGCCGCGCCTGAGACATCCTCACGATCTGCTCTGAAAGCCAAGGATGTTGGGCATGGAAACGAGCAAACCGCCTGAGACCATACCCACAAACTGGCCACGAACGGGCCCGTGAAAACACCCCTGGCGGCTCCCCTTAGGGGTGCTGAAACCAGCGCCCCGCCTGAGACATCCTCACAATCTGCTCTGAAAGCCAAGGATGTTGGGCATGGAAACGAGCAAACCGCTTGAGACATCCCCACAAACTGGCCATGAACGGGCCCGTGAAAACACCCCTGGCGGCTCCCCTTAGGGGTGCTGAGACCAGCGCCCCGCCTGAGGCATCCTCACAATCTGCTCTGAGAGCCAAGGATGTTGGGCATGAAAACGAGCAAACCGCCTGAGACATCCCCACAAACTGGCCACGAACGGGCCCGTGAAAACACCCCTGGCGGCTCCCCTTAGGGGTGCTGAAACCAGCGCCCCGCCTGAGACATCCTCACAATCTGCTCTGAAAGCCAAGGATGTTGGGCATGGAAACGAGCAAACCGCTTGAGACATCCCCACAAACTGGCCATGAACGGGCCCGTGAAAACACCCCTGGCGGCTCCCCTTAGGGGTGCTGAGACCAGCGCCCCGCCTGAGGCATCCTCACAATCTGCTCTGAGAGCCAAGGATGTTGGGCATGAAAACGAGCAAACCGCCTGAGACATCCCCACAAACTGGCCGCGAACGGGCCCGTGAAAACACCCCTGGCGGCTCCCCTTAGGGGTGCTGAAACCAGCGCCCCGCCTGAGACATCCTCACAATCTGCTCTGAAAGCCAAGGATGTTGGGCATGGAAACGAGCAATCCGCTTGAGACATCCCCACAAACTGGCCATGAACGGGCCCGTGAAAACACCCCTGGCGGCTCCCCGTAGGGGTGCTGAAACCAGCGCCTCGCCTGAGACATCCTCACAATCTGCTCTGAAAGCAAAGGATGTCGGGCATGACAACGAGCAATCCGCTTGAGACATCCCCACAAACTGGCCGCGAACGGGCCCGTGAAAACACCCCTGGCGGCTCCCCTTAGGGGTGCTGAAACCAGCGCCCCGCCTGAGACATCCTCACAATCTGCTCTGAAAGCCAAGGATGTCGGGCATGACAACGAGCAAACCGCCTGAGACATCCCCACAAACTGGCCGCGAACGGGCCCGTGAAAACACCCCTGGCGGCTCCCCTTAGGGGTGCTGAAACCAGCACCAGGCGATGCTCAAGAAAACTTAAGTATTCGGCCAGAGTCTCGATTACTCTTAAGGTTTCAATTTAATGCCTAAGATTTTGATTGAAATTCTGGGTTTTATTTAAATTCTGAGACTATGAATTTCTTAACCCATGATTTCTTAAGTATTTCGCAGGGTGTACTGCAGGGTCGCGCCGCGTCGACGCAGCGGCGACCCCGGCGTGGGCGTTCCACCGGCAGGCCGAGCGCCGCCGGTGGCCCAGCATCGGGCGGCACCGAAGGGTCTGCGCCGGCGGAGAGGCGCGATCGGTCAAGCTCGAACGATCCACGAGGTCATCACGGCACGAGCCGGCCGTAGATCCAAGGTCAAGTCCACCCTGACTCCAGATCCGCCCTACTTTGGCTTTTTCTCCAACTTGAAATTGCGTCGGACATCCACCTATAAGGAGCCGAAAAAGTAGGGCGGAAATTGCTGCACCCACCATAAAATGGTGCGAAAATCCACAGAAGTAGTACGGAAACAACAACAGAAAAGTAGGGCGGAAATTGGCATCAGCGGTCTCAAAAGTAAGGCGGAAATTCCAAGCCCCACTTACGAATTTCCCCAAAGTAGGGCGGATCTGGAGTCAGGGCAGGGTCATTACGGCACGAGCCGGCCGTATATCCATGGCGCCGCCATCTGCAACCTCAGCCAGCGAGGGTACGTCTACAAATCGGACATATAGATACGACGTCTGCGATGCCCTCGGCGCCCGCAGGGGTTCCTCCCCGATCGCCGAGCGCGGTGCGATGGCAGCGTCTTGCGCGCTTGGTGTCGGTCCCCCCGTGGCCCCCGAAAGGACGCGCACCAGAGGTCACTCCTGCCTACAGTCAGTGGACGAGTGACAGTCGTGAAATTTTAGCGAGCATACCATATCGGGCAGGTTTGGGGCCCGACGTCATGTTCTCAACCTCGTTGCATCCATGGCCGCTTTGGCTCCAGTGGCGTCGGTTCCAGCAAAGCAGCGCAAACGCGATGCAATCGGAAACCTCCCCGAGACGACGAACGACGACCGACCGACCGACCGACCGACACCGATGACCCGAGCGACCGACCGACCGACTTACCGAAACGAGGAAGACCGACGACGACCGACGACGACCGAACGACCGACGACGACGACGACGACGACGACGACGACGACGACGACGACGACGACGACGACTATGACGACGACCGACAATCCGACCGACAGTCCGACCGACTGACCACCGACGACCGAGACGACAACGACCGACGATGACCGACCGACCGACGACCGACGACCTGACCGAACGACTGAGCGACCGACCGAAACGTCCACGACCGACGACGACCGATCGAACGACCGACCGACCAACCGAAACGACGACCGATGACGACGGACGGAGCGACAGACGAACGCGCAGACTGGCCTTGCTTGGGAGCAAGGCGCGGATACAACGCTGGGGCCCCCGCCCCTGGCCCGTCCCCCCCCTCCTCCGCCGATCTGTTCTTATGTTTAGAACCCTAAGCTGGGTGAAGCTCCAGCCTGCTGGTTTTACGAGGGATAGTGGTCCAGCCGCTTACGCCGACAAGAGAGGGTGGCTCCAGCCCTCAATTTTTACGAGGGTGCACGTTCCAGCCGCCAACAGTGTCGGCTCCGTCCTTGAATGTTTACGAAGTTTTCCAGCCGCCTATTCTGACAAGAAGGGTGGTCCCAGTCTTTTACTTTTACCCAGGAAAGTGTTCCAGCCGCCCACGGTGTCGGTTCTGGCCCCCAAATTTTTACAAGGGTGCATGTTCCAGTCGCCTATGCAGACAAGAAGGGGTGGCTCCAGCCCCATAAATTTTACGAGGGTAAGTGTTCGAGCCGCCCACAATGTCGGCTCCAGCCCAACATTTTTACGAGGGAACGTGTTCCAGCCGCCTATTTCGAGAAAAAAAGGGTGGTTCCAGTAACCCCTACTTTTACCAAGCAAAGCTCTCCAGCCGCCCACGGTGTCGGTTCCAGCCCCCAAATTTCTACGATGGTGCATGTTCCAGCCGCCTATGCAGACAAGAAGGGGTGGTTCCAGCAACCCCAAAGTTTACGAGGTGACGTGCTCTGGCCGCCCACGGTGTCGGTTCCAGCCCCACGCATGCGAGCCACGCCTCCGCCGCAGCCTGAGCGAATTAACTACGCTAGACAGACACACTTCGTCAAACTTCCCATTGGCAAATTCAGTCTTGCGTGTAACCGATGCTCAAAGAACCAGTCTGAAATTGGGATGTAGCCAATGCCACCGCCTGGGAAACCAATCTTCCTGGACTTCGGGAGGCGGTAGGTATGGATATTCTCGGGCCCCCCTGGACCCCAAGCGTACCCATATCCTTCGCACCCTCCCGGGCGGTGGATATGCATACCCCCCGCCTCGCAAGATCGCGCTGCCCCCCGCGGCGCCTCCGCCTCTGGCGGGGGAGTAAGGTGTAGCGCCAATTCAACAATTCTGAGCTGACTTTTAGCAACTGACGCTTCTTATGCCGACTCGGTTTCACTTGGAAGTGATTCCGATGTTCTCTCGGCAGCGTCGGCACGGATCGCTTGTGGGTGCCCCCCCGGAGCACGCCGCTCCAGATCATCCGTAGACAGTTCGGTTCAAGGCCTGAGGCCTCCCCCCAGAACGTAGCTTTGGTTCAGGTCGGACGAAAGGGGTGCCCAGGGACACGGGAACGGTTCCGGCCCCGCCGCCGGGCGCGCCTCCAGCGCCGGGAGGCACCGGGAGAACAGCTACGTGAGTGGATTCGCTGCACAGACCCCCCTTTTACACGCCATCCCCGTTCGCCCGACCCGACTGGTGTCGCTGCTGCGGTCCAGCGGCCCTGGACCCTGTGCCCGCATCGATGGCATGGGCCCTGGGGCCGCGCGCTGCCCTGCTCCTGGCGGCGGCATGGTCGGTCGGCCTTGCGACAGGCACGGGCATCACAGCCTCCTCCACTCACTTCAATCGGGCCGAGTACGAGGAGAATCAGATCATCACGTCGCTGAACAATTGTCCGCTCTGCGCTGAGCACGAGCCCTGCCTGATGAGCTGCAGGAAGCAAGAGAACAAGGGCTGGGGTGAGTGCTTGGACAGGTGCCTCGGGGATAATCCTATGCTCCTTGAGACCTTCAAGGGTATGGTCCAGAGCTCTAGTAGTTTGAGGGGGTTTGGATCCTAGCTGACTTGACTGACTCGCGAGTGGGTCCGCTTCAAAAAAGTATCCTAGTCGCTGTCAGTGTAAGGCGCTTGCGCCCGTTGCGATCTGCGGAACGAGCAGTGGTAGCTAGGGGGTATGAGTTCGCAGTGGATTTGTTGCATTTAGATGCAATGAGCATGTGGTGGCTCTGCGTGTATATGAGGTAGTTTCGAGTCACCGCAGAGACGAGTGTGGCTTGGCGCTGATGGAGCAGCGATGTGGCCAAGATGGCGCGCGGGTTCTGAGCTATGGTTTGGCCTTGAGGCGCCAACGGCTTAACAATCAGACGGATAAGCAACAGCTCAAAGGTAGCCAGCGGGGCCCGGGGAGACGAGCATGAGGTCCCGCCAGTGTACATGGGAAGCAGCGGGGTGCTATGAGGCAGCGACGAGGTATTTTCTTTGCAAAACTACGGGGGCAACAAGATGCCACTACTCCCCAGACCTCGTCCGGGTGGTGCGCTCTGGCCAGAACCGGAGAACCCAGCGGTGGCGGAGGGCTCTCCGGCAAGAGCAGCGGCATCGCTACGCCTCCCCCTCCGAAAACAGTGCGGTGGCCATGTGGTGGCTACAAGTGGCTACCAGCAACCCGGGCACACGTGATGTGGCTGGTCTGGGCGCGACCTTAGTGGGCCCTGGAAACGGCAGGGCCGTTTTTTCACCGTTTCCGAGTGTCCCTTGAACATGGAAACGGCCGAAAAACGGCGACCGGAAACGGCAGCAAGAACGGCTCCAGGATCGGAACGGGAGCGGGAACCCGTAAAAGAACGGCGACGGATCCGGTAAAACAACGGCGTCGGAACTGGCAAAAAAACGGCAAAGTGGAACCAGTAAAAAAACGGCCTTGTCGTTTCCAGGGCCCACTAAGGGCGCGACATAAGCGTGACGCCAGGACCCCAGGGGGCAACTACACGGGGACACGGGGCGGACTCCGCTGACGTCTGCGCGCAAGCTGCAGTCAGAGAGATGAGATACGGTAGAGGGAAATTATTACTGAACACTCCCCCTCCCCCCAAACTCAAAGTTGGCACGCGCGGGGGAGACTGCGGTCGAGGTGCAACTCATCCGACCCAGCGCCAACCTTGAACATTGAGGGGAGGGGGAGGCGTCGACAAACGATTCTGGCGGCATGGGTGCTCGCTATTTCTGTTCCGAGGCCGGCAGGGACCCATTTGGGCTCCGGAGGGGCTTTGATTCTGCGGGCCGCTCCTCTCAGATCCAGGTCGCTGGACCTGTCCGTGGCCGAGGCTCGGCGTGGCCAGGGCAGCCTCTCGAGTTCTTCTCTCGCGTCCTTTTGCGTCAAGGGAGGAAAGAACATCCCGACCCCGACACTCGGCGCTCACTGCACGGCCCTCTGCGTTTCCTGAGCGGCCCTGCCCTGTTCGACTCCTTCCCTGGGTGCGTTTCCTAAGCGGCTTTGCTCGACGGGGTGCTCGTTCTGGGGGTGGGTCTTCTGCCCTCTACAGTCAGCCATGATGATAAGGATGGGGCAACCTGGCCAGGGTACCCTTGCATCCTTGCCCCTTCGGCGCATCCTTGCCAACTTTCGCTGGCCAGCCCTTCAGAGTACCCTTGCATCCTTCGGAATCCGGCCGCACTCCGCGCGGAAAGCCTCAACATGGCGCATCCTCACCACGCATCCTTATTATCCTGGTTGACTGTACAGTGCCGTTTTTAATCCATGCTCCGCGTGCGGATCATGTATTAAACATGCAGGGATTTAGTACTAAAAGCAACGACGAGTTCATGCATACATTTATTCATACACTAGTCGTGTATCAAACATCCAATCTGTTTGAAATCCTATGTCTTAAGAGCTGCCCTGCACTGAGGCAGCACGAGGCCCGTGGCCCACGTCCGGCCGCGCGCGGGCGCACCCCGCCACCACTCCGAGCGCGCCGGAGCCGCGGCGGCGGCGGCCCGCGCAGGCCGCGCGTGCAGTGCCGCCGCGGCCCCGCCCGGCGAGGCCGGGCTGTGCCCCTCGGCGCTCGCGCGGCGTCGTCGGACGAGGCCGGGAGCAGTAGACACGGTGCATTGCTGATTCTTCGAGAGGTCTTTTGACTTTTGGGGGGGCCAGATCCTCTCATTTCTGATTGTTCTTTCCTGGGCCTCTTCCTGGCCACTAATTCGGGGGCCACAAACAGCTGGAGACGAGCACAGTCAGAAACGAGCACGGTTGGAGGTGAACGACGTGCATCGTTTCACCGATCCCCATCCCCATCCCCATCCCGAGCCCCACCATCTCACCACCCCAGCTGGGGATATACCCCTCGAAGCCCATCTAGGGGGGCAAACCGGCCAGTGGGGCCCAGGCCACACGGGGGGGGCATAGGGATCGGTTAGACGATGCTCATAGGACTATGATGGATCCGTTCCAGAGCGTTCCGGAACGTTCTCAGAGCATTCCGAGACGTTTTGAGAAGGCCGCGGCGCCCGAGACATCCCGCAGAGCCGCTGGATCTCAGAGATTCTCGATCGATCTTCACCCGAGTTTTTCCTCGTCCTGGCCTCGTCTTGCGCCGGCCCTGGCGCCCCCCCCGCAGCCGCGCGCGGGCTCCTGCAGCCGTGCGTTGCTCTGGGGCGGGGGTCAGGGGCAAGCGACTATTGGCATCTCTCGGACGTGTGCCTTTTTTCTATCTCGGCCAGGACCACCGAGAAGGATCTTGATCATGTTGGGGGAAAAGACACGCACGGCATCGAAACATGCACGTGGAATGGACGTCTGAGCGATGGCCAGTAACTCGGCAGCAAATCATGGGAGTCTTGTGCACCCTCGCAATTCCGTTCTTAGAGTGTGTTGGCGTGCGCTAGCGCCTGGGAGTCGATGAGTAGGCGCCGATTCAGCGTTGATCAGCGTCGCCGGGCGTCGATATGGCGCGTCGATTTAGCGCCGACCAGCGTCGGCGAGCACCGATTCGCAAGAGCCAACAAGATGGCACGGGAGGCTCCCGTGACTTGCCACCGAAACGTTAGGGTTAAGTCGGGCCTGTCTCTCAGCAGGAAGAATATTCAAAATAGTTAAAAATAGTATGGGGATTATTTTTTGAATCTTGTTTGACCATTTTGGGGTATGTTTTGACTACTCCTGATTTTTTCCTCGAACATCGGCCTGTAGGGTTATGATGTTCCAACCAGCCTTGATCACCAGAAAGACTTTCGAGCGCCAGAAGAGTAAACAACTCGAGGGTTTTCACGTGTCGGGCCCTGGAAGGCACTGGTCCTTACGTGCGATGGGATGTGTTCTCTACGCACGTCCCTCTACTGGAGGAATTTTAAAAAGCAGTGAAACAGAGGATTGTGTTGACTATGTGTGACCATTTTGGGATCTGCTCTGACTATTTTTTAAAATTCTTCGTCCAAAATCCGCCTGTACAGTGAGCGGTTTGAATAAGGAACACTTCCTTTTCAAAAGGGGCTCGGTCGTTCCTCAGGTTTGCATGCGTTCTGCTACCTTTTTGGCGGCGAGCCCCCTTCTGGTGTTCCTTCGGACCTCTCAGGCTCACTTGGGACAACAAGGGGCCGCGTTCCGTGTATTGCGAAGGCCTTACGGCCGTTGCCGCCGACCCTGAAGATGACGAAAGACAACACGAGGGGGGGGCAGGAGGAGGAGGAGGAGGAGGAGGAGGAGGCGGAAGGGAGTAGGAGGAGGAAGGGTGAAGGGGGAGGAGGAGGAGGCCTTATGGATGTTGGTTGGGATCTCGTGGTTGACCTCTCGGGGGCGTCTGGAAGGCAACTTGAAGCCTCTTGGGGGCCGTTGTGGGGCCTCTTGGGGCCTCTTTTGGGCCTCTTGGGGCTTCCGGAGGCCGTCTTCGGCGCATCTTGGGGGCGTCTTGGCGCCGCTCGGGGGCCTCTTGGGGCCTTTTGGGGGCCTCTTGGGGCTTCCCGGGGGCCTCTTAGGGCGGAAGTCTCGAATTCTCGGTTCCTCGTCCCCCTCTTGGCCGTTTCTTGGGCCCGTCTTGGGGCCCTATTGGGCCGTCTTGGGCGCCTCTGAGGCTGTCCTGGGGCCTTCCTGGGCCGTCTTGGGGCCCTCTTGTAGGCCTCTTGGGGCGCTCTTGGGGGCCTCTTGGGGGCCTCTTGGGCCGTCTTGGAGTGTCGGAAAGCCGAAAAGGCGAGAAGGCCAAAATCATTCAAAAACCGATGTAAAATTGACGATTTTGGCGCCTGGGGCCCTCTTGGGTGTGCTCTTGGGGCTCTCTTGGAGCGTCTTGAGGGCCTCTTGGGCCGTCTTCGGGCCGTCTTGGGCGTCTTGGGGCCATCGTTCGTCGAGTCGAGGCCCTCTTGTACCCTTTTGGGGGTGTCTTCTGTCGCTCTTGGCTCGTCTTGAAGCTTTTCTGAGCTCCGGGACCCCCCGGGGAGGATGCGTATCTGGGTGGCGACCCCCCCGGGGACCCCCCCCGGCGCCCCCCCCCCCCCCCTGGCGGGGAGGGTAGGGAGGGCCTTCGCCACGACTCAACTACGACGTTGCTCAATGTCGCTTTGGCTCGCGCGCTCAAGGAGACGGGGAACGACGAAGACGACGAGGGACAACGGAGACGGAGACGACGAGGACACGACGGAGACGACGACGACGACGACGACGACGGTGATCCACGCAAGACGACGACACCGGGATGCGTCTTCCACACGCCGACAGGGTCGGCGGATTTATCGTTCCTTAGGTCAGGCCGACGACTGCAGGGGGACAGGCCCGGCCCAACGTTAGGGGGGAGGGGACAGGCACGGCGGGGCACGCGCAGACCCTCCCCCCCCAAGTCGCCCGTGGATCGCCGACGGGGGGGGCCCACGCCCCGCTCCCGCCCAGGAGCGCGCGCGGAGTCGCCATCGGGGGGGGGGCCCCTTCTCGCCGACCCGTCGGCGAAGTGTATCGCCGACGGCTCGGGGGAGGGGGGAGGGGGCAAGCTAGGTGCGCTCGCGTCATATCTGACGTCCTCCCTCCCATCCCTTACCATGGCGCTGATTTTCTCTATCCGCGGACGCGTGTCG